CCTGACAGGAATCCATCAGAATATTTGGTGGGCGTGGCATAATTTCTCTATAGCGCCCCCTAGAAACTTTTAAATGATCAGCCCCAAGCCATGCTTTAACCTACAATTACAAAACTTTGTACACATGTGTACCATGTCAGGACTTACAAAAAAGTCTCTTGGAGCCATGGTCTAAACCCCACAGGAAGTCGGCCATTTTAGATTGAAGTTCAGATTTTGACCCCATTTTTGGCGTTTATAAATCATTTCAGTAATTCGCCACTTGGGGTCAGTATTGCTCCACAAATGAAACAGCAGATAAACAGGATGAAGAACAATATCAATATTTCGCCAGTAGGTGTTAGTGTTCCTCCACCAATCCACGGGCGGATGAGCGTGAAAACTTTGTGAGAGCGTTGCCGTGAGATTTCTAAAAGGATATAAATGTCTCAGATAATTTTTGTTGAATTAAATCATGCAGTAAATGTAGCGTTTTCTTACTTCTTACAAACCATTTCAGTAATTCGACACTCTGAGTAAGTATTACTCCAACAATGAAATAGAGTGCTTTAGAAACACAGCTGAAAATGATGAAAAATGACGAACTGTAGTACTTCGCCATGTGCATATGATCGGCTGTATATGACATGTGGATCATCCGACTGACGCCAAATTGGATACGTATGACCTTTGTTGACCTCTAAAGAGAACAACAGCATTGAAATATATTTTGACTCCACTGCGCGTCCTACATTAATCCGCCAGCTATATTTCCTCGCTAAACCAATGAATCTGCACCACATTTTTTGCATCGTCAAGGAGCGCCTCCGAACGCATCAGTGCGTACCGCCTGGTGGACGGGCACGGAAACTGCACAACAACTTCTGTGTTAGCACGTGGCCAGCGTTGATGGAATCTGAGCAACAGCTTCCGCGGTGCGGGCGGAGGAGCTGAAAACTGCGTGAGAGCTTCTGTGGTGGCTGGCGTGAGGCGGCGGTTGCTCGTACCCCGCGGTGGCAATAGGCCGGAGCGGCGCTTGGCTGCGAGGGCCGTTCGAGGCTGCTTGCAGCTTTAATTATTATTATTATTTTTCTTCCCACCTCTTTGGGGGGCTTTTTGGGGGCCTTATCATATTGGAAAACTCACCAAACTTGGCGGAGGCCTTAAGCCTGTTTAAAAATTTTGATTTTTAAGGTCATCACAAAAATCCCACAAGAAATGGCTCAATAGCGCCACCTAGAAATTTTCAAAGGACCCTTTGCTATTCACTTACTTTATCCTAGAGACATGAAATTTGGTACACTTGTAGAGCTCCCCAGGACGCTCAAAATTTACAATTAATGTCATAGTGCAAGTATCACAGAAAGTCGGCCATTTTGGATTGAAGGTCCAATTTTGAGGCCATTTTGGCCGTTTACAGCCTCCGTATTTGATCGAACTCCTCCTAGGGATTTCGATTGATCGGCTTCAAACTCGGTCAGTCCTTTCATAAGGCATGTCCCATCTAAAGTTATCAAAACGGTGAGTTTTTGAGTATGCTGAAGGGGGGTTAGCAGGGGTCAAAGTTCACCTACTCGCCGTAAAAAAATAAACTGCTATATCTCCTACACAGAAACTCACAGAGGCACCAAAGTTACTGTGATTGATCATCATCGGGTGTCCTAGAATACCCTATGGTCGAATGATGACATCACTTAAGCCACGCCCCCTGAGAACAGGAAGTGTAATGTTTTACTGTTAACGGTCGCTATCTCACCCCTTTGACCTCATCAACATGAAACTGTGCCCAGACACAGAAGACATGTTGGTGTATTGAGGATTCTAATCCCTACCAGCTACGATGGAGCAGGTGGGCATGGCGGCGTGGCGAAGTGACCTGTAACGCCATCGCCATACATTTGGCTCAATTCCACATTTTTAGGCCCAGCTGCTCCACACTCACAAGGATGGATCCTCATCCACTCCCTGACAGGAATCCATCAGAATATTTGGTGGGCGTGGCCTAATTTCTCTATAGCGCCCCCTAGAAACTTTTAAATGATCAGCCCCAAGCCATGCTTTAACCTACAATTACAAAACTTTGTACACATGTGTACCATGTCAGGACTTACAAAAAAGTCTCTTGGAGCCATGGTCTAAACCCCACAGGAAGTCGGCCATTTTAGATTGAAGTTCAGATTTTGACCCCATTTTTGGCGTTTATAAATCATTTCAGTAATTCGCCACTTGGGGTCAGTATTGCTCCACAAATGAAACAGCAGATAAACAGGATGAAGAACAATATCAATATTTCGCCAGTAGGTGTCAGTGTTCCTCCACCAATCCACGGGCGGATGAGCGTGAAAACTTTGTGAGAGCGTTGCCATGAAATTCTAAAAGGATAGAAATGTCTCAGATAATTTTTGTTGAATTAAATCATGCAGTAAATGTAGCGTTTTCTTACTTCTTACAAACCATTTCAGTAATTCGACACTGACTAAGTATTACTCCAACAATGAAATAGAGTGCTTTAGAAACACAGCTGAAGATGATGAAAAATGACGAACTGTAGTACTTCGCCATGTGCATATGATCGGCTGTAAATGACACGTGGATCATCCGACTGACGCCAAATTGGATACGTATGACCTTTGTTGACCTCTAAAGAGAACAACAGCATTGAAATATATTTTGACTCCACTGCGCGTCCTACATTAATCCGCCAGCTATATTTCCTCGCTAAACCAATGAATCTGCACCACATTTTTTGCATCGTCAAGGAGCGCCTCCGAACGCATCAGTGCGTACCGCCTGGTGGACGGGCACGGAAACTGCACAACAACTTCTGTGTTAGCACGTGGCCAGCGTTGATGGAATCTGAGCAACAGCTTCCGCGGTGCGGGCGGAGGAGCTGAAAACTGCGTGAGAGCTTCTGTGGTGGCTGGCGTGAGGCGGCGGTTGCTCGTACCCCGCGGTGGCAATAGGCCGGAGCGGCGCTTGGCTGCGAGGGCCGTTCGAGGCTGCTTGCAGCTTTAATTTTGTTTTGTTTTTTGGCTACCGTCTTTAGAAAACAATCACCAAACCTACATGTGGCTGTGCACCGACACACAGATGAGTATTTTCATGTTTATTTTTGCGTTGTCGACTATCGGGCAGGTGAACATATCTGATTAGATTGGGGCGGCTGCACTGACTCTTGGCCTTTGTTCCCTTCCTGCTGTAACCGTCACTCGGCTGTGTTTGACTTTCGCCTCGTCAGAGTCGGCGGCGATCTCCTGCCTCGTTCACAGCCTTCCTCGGTCCAAATCACCTCTAGTCGCATTCAGCTTGAGAGAGAGAGAGAAAGCGCACAGCTGGTTCGGCTGAGGAGCAGACGGAGGAAAACTCTGACAGGATGTGTTGTGCTGGGAAGTGCGCCCGCCTGGTGGGCCTGATACTGCTGCCGTCGGCCTTCATCTGCATGATCTCCAACTTGCTCCTTTTCTTCCCCAACGGGGAAAAGCTGGAAAGTGACCAGATAACCCTGCAGGTCTGGCTCATGGGGGGCATCATCGGCGGAGGCCTCTTTGTGAGTTTCAGCGTGTTTTCAGTTTTATACAGTTTTTATTGGGTCTTTAAAGTGTACTTGTGTAAACTTGTAAATTCAAACGTCCTGATTTTATGGAGTTTTTCTGAGGAGCCTGATAGAATAATGAGGCATTATTCCTCTAAGTGGACGATCATTTCAGTCCCTTAATCCTGTTTTCTGTTTTTTGTAATTTGTGGTCATTTTTTTCTTTTAAAACCTTTTTGATCGTTGCCGCATTTAGGTTTCATTGTTGGAAAGTTAAATAGAAAGAAAAAAAATTAAAACAAGATCATTAAGCAAGCGGAACCTAAATCAAAAAGCAAAAGGAAAACTTTTGCCAGGTCAGAAGAATTGATTGTAGTTCAACAATGTCTGAGCATCAACATTCTTAAATTTATTTTTGCCATACTTATCTGTTAACAAAAGTTACTTTGCATGTGAAATGAAAATGCCAAATCTCTGAGTTTTATGACAGAAAAGATGCAGAAAACATCACAAGTCTTTCTGAAATTCTTGGACCAAAACCCACAATAAATTTTCAGTAAAAAAAATCAACAACAAGCATGCATTTTTTAATACCAGTGTTATAAATTTATCAACATTAAATAACAGGAAATCTAAATGACTGTTGAAGCAAAGAGGTCACAAATTTTACATTTGAATGTAAAAGAAAAACTAAATTGAACTGTTAATTTATTTGTTTTTTTTTCACAAATGTGAACTTTTCAAGCTCATTTTAGTTCAGTTTGATTTGAACAAGTTAATGCAAATGCAACAAAAGTATTATGCAATCACAACTCCATAATATAATATAATATAATATAATATAATATAATATAATATAATATAATATAATATAATATAATAATAGTGTTTAATTGTCTCCAAAAGTGAAGCCATGCATTAAAAAAATAACATTGGTCGCCTAACTCTGGTCTCAAAAGTCCACAAATTCTCCCAGAAGTTTCTTCTGATGCCACTTTGAAAATTTCAGTTGTTTTAAGTTTTGAACATAAAGTTGAGTTTTTATGACGTTGTTGAAGGTCAGCGTGTTGTCAATGAATCTGCTTATAGAAAACACCAACAATTCCCACAGAAAAGCGTCAATCTGTGAATGTTTGTGGACATTATCTCAACATTCAGAGGTTATCAAGATAATTCATAAATATTTAATCTGCTAAAGCAATGAGTGCCGCCTCTAGCTGCTGTTTTTTTTCCACATGATAGAAACATGTGAGACAAAGACCAGGAAGTTCGATCCCTTCCTACCTCTAACTGTGAATGTTGGGCCCAGTTAGACACAACCGGCTTCAGGATTCACAAATATTTGCCCAAGGAGATAAGAACACAGACTCATGCATTTACTGGGGCCTATTTGATGTTGGCATAACATTTAATCTCGTAGTTTAAGCTTTTGTCATCACGAGTGAACATCCTAAAGACGTGTTTCAGTCATAAAACAGAAACTTGAAAGTGTAGAGTCACGCATTTATTAGGCAACATCAGCATTGCAGGACACACTGAACAGTTGTTGTGTTTTTTTTGTTGTGAATCCCATCTTCAGTTCAACAGCACTGATGATCGTTTGTTTTTGTGCACTTATAGATGCTGTGCCCGAGCTGCTCAGCTATCAGGGCCGGGGGCAAGGGTTGCTGTGGACAAGGCTGCTGTGGCAATCGCTGCAGGGTGAGTGGAGTCGTCTGAAAAAGAAGCACAGTGGGTGTTGTGGGGACTGGTCTGATAACGGCTAAATTATGCAGCATGTTTACAACCAAGAAACATTCAGCTGCATCCTTAGAGGAATACGTAGCCTTCACTTTTCACATCATTCTCTTCAGGTCTTCTCTTTTTCTAAATATATTGTTCAAGAACTGATACTGCTTCGTTCATTTTTACACCACTTCTTATTTATCAAGAATTAAGAGAGTAGAATAGAATAAAATAGATAGATGTTTATTTGTTGAAAGCTACTGTATCTTAGGTAATAAATACAAAGTTTGAAAAATATATATATACCTAAGAGTGATAAGTTCGAAATGATTACATAAAAAAAATAATAAATAACAAGCAATCACATGCAATATATTAATCAATAAATAATCTATAAATGAGCACAGAAAAAATTGAATCAATCAATCTCTTTAACTATAAGTACTTTTATTTTTTTCTTGTTCTGCAGACTGAAATATTGCCCATGTAAAATACAGCTTTCACATCAACGACGAAGAAAAAAAAAACATTCCAATTTCAGTTCACCCTTGCTGTGAAAATGAAATCACATAAAATATTCATAAAAACAGAAAGTATGCCCTCTGTTAAATCTAGCATTTCACTCCCACAGAAGTCAAATGCTAGATTTCTATTTCTATCTTAATTTACCAACGACAAAAACATCTTTCAAATCATAAATATCGTTTCCGTGGATATCTCATGTCTCTTTCAGATGCTGAACTCAGTCTTTTCTTCTGCCTTCGGTCTGATTGGGGCGATTTACTGCACCAGTGTGGCCACGGCTGCGTTGGCGGTGGGACCGAAGTGTGAGGTTGAAGGCAAATGGCAATACCCCTTTGAGGACTTGGGCACGTGAGTGTTCCTCCCATCCTGCTGTGTCACTTCCACTGACGACAATAACTGCTGCAACTTTGGAAACTTGCGAGGCGATAGCTGCACATTTCCATGTGCGGTTATTGTTCTGCTATCTCAGTGGTCTGATCGGTTATATCACTCTTATCAGACAAAGGACAGTTTTAGTTCTTCTTGGAAAAAGTTATAAATGCAATGCCTTTAACATCCAGCAGGAGGCGTACAGAGCCAATGATTTCTTTTCTAAGTCGACTTCTATTTGAGACTCGCTCAAAATCCGAAACAGACAGCATTTAAATGCACGCGTTGCGCTCATTCCATCTGCAAATATGAAATGGAAAAGTATAATCTTAATGCCGTTTACCTTTGCAACCCTGGCGGCCAATAAAGAATGAGTCGATGCAAGATCCACCCAGTAACAACGTCATTGGCATCAGTGGTTAATGTCACAGTAGATATGATTTAACACACCTGATGTGGAGATTAACGCTATCAAGCAAAAACGACAGTCCAATAAATATGAACGGAGCCTGCAGGTTGTTTAAAAGCCACCACTGTTTACAGGGAGGGACCTTTTTATATTGCGCAATTTATGGAAGGGTGTAATAATTCAGCCTGCACTTGTGCTTCCTGCAGAAAACCCCAGTTTCCTCTTTCTTTGTTTTTGGTTTAGCCAGCACAGGATCCTGGGCAGAACTCACAGTGACCCTGTGCTTCTCTCAAACCAAAAAGAACAACGTGGAAAAACAAGAACTGAGTCCTTCTGATCACAAGATATAATCGCTTGTTTGCACCAATAACTGGAGTAGTTTAACTTTAGACACTCTCCACGTTTCTTGGCAACATTGTGTGTGTGTTGAAATCAATTTATGTTTTAATTCAGCGGCATAATCTGACGGTAAAATTCTTACAAAAATATAACCTGTAACTTCAGTACATTTATTCAGTGGGGAATCAAATTAAACAACATAAATGACAAATTTGACCAAAATCGCTGATACAAAACAAGATGGAACCAAAGTATGTTTTGAAGTATGGATCACTTTTTACTGATCATTAGTGTCATTAGTTATTTTTCAGACAACTTCTCAATATCTCATGGCGAAGGAAACGTGCCATTCAAGTAAATCGACGTTGTGTTGATCTTCACCAGGCGGAAAATGACTAAACAGAAATCGCTGCGTGTACAAAGTTGACCACATGTACAACCAGAGCAATAATTAAGGAGTTGGAACTGTGACAATGCTGGGCAAGGAAGAACAAGTTTATCTTGATGCTACGCACATCAAGAGAGGGTGAAAAACGGCCAAAGTTCAACATTTATAAAAAGAGTCTCCAAAACAACCATCAGATGTCATCTGAAAGCAAACTGGTTGCTTAGGAGGAGTAGAAGGAAAAAGTCTTTTAAGTCCTACTATCACAAACGTTTCTAGGCAAATAGATGTTAACCAATGTTATCTAAAATCTACAGGTGGATCGGAGCCAATCGGAGATTAGAAAAAGAAAAATGGCATTACTGGATTGACTTCTTTGCAAACAGCATTGTACCTCGGTGTCTCAGCTTCTCAAGTGTGTTTTTCTTCAGAATATTTGGATACATTGCACAAAAAGACCCACAAATTTTGTCAAATTTACTTCCAACAGAAAAACTAGTGAATACTGAATGTGCTTTGGTCCAATCCCACTGAGCCTCTTAGCAGCAAACACTCCAGGTGGGTCGTGCATAATGATGACTATGAGGAAAAATCACTCCCGCACTCATAACTAGATTACGCATGATTTTATCTCAAACTGATAACATTTGTATTGACCTTATCCTTACATAAAGCCCTTTTGATCGTTACTATCCAAGGATCCTGTTGAAGCTGCACAGGATGCATCTAAACTGAGCAGCGAGCCTCCACTTAAACTCTGTAAGTGGAGGTAATGTATTGTTTTCTACAATGTATTGTAATGTATTGTTTTCATCCCATTAATTATACTTTTTACGAGAATTTTAATACTTGTCACAGAATCAAGAGGTTTCAACATCGAATCAAATAATTTGGCTGAATAAACTAATAACACGTCACAGGATGAGGATCTCACTCTAAATACAAAACAAACAAAAAAACATTTTGATACTTCTCTCTGAAAATATTCCTTAACATAAATTTTTTTCCAATGATGTGGTCAAGATGGAAAACACATCTTGACCACATCATTGGTCAAGATGTGTTTTCAAGTTTTGATTTAAGAAGTTGTCATCTTAAAGTCTTTTTAAGTGCCAACAAAAACGTCACTTTGAATTAGATTGCAGCAATTTATGCTAGGCGAGTTTCTTACTTTTCTTTTTTTTGGTTTCATTAGAGTAAAACATGGTCTCTAACTCAATCATTTCCCTCTTTTTTTTTTCTGTCAAAAGGAGAAAAAAGGCCAAAAGATTCCCACATCTTACCTGTTGAGCATGTTTGTGTCAGTGTGGTGCATCCTGAACAATCCTCTCCTCACTTCTCTTTCTCAGGGGTAATGGCAGCTACCTTTGGGACCAGACCATGTGGTCAGATTGCCAGAAGCCTGAGAACATAGTTCTGTGGCACATCGTGTTGTTCTCCATACTGCTGGGGATGGGCTTGGTGCAGCTTGTGCTCTGTGCCGTCCAGGTGATCAACGGCTGCATTGGATGCATCTGCGGCGACTGCCGGGACGACAGCGATGTGAGTCCAATAAATCCGCACTCAAACCAAACATCCGGATCGGTTTGAAAGAATGGGAATGAGTTGTTTACTAAGAACATGTCTGAGTTTTAGAGATGGTGGTGTTATCACAGATTTTAGTTCTTATCAGAGGAAACAAGACGGAGGAAAAAATAGGCGTATGAGTTTTGATTCAGTCTTATCTCTGTGTGGGTGAGTTGGTAGGAATCGTTCCACTAGACAGGAAACAGTTACCTGACATCCTCTCATTTATTGCCATATTTTACACAGGAAAAATAATAATAAAAAAAACATTATGGAGCTTTGACAGCATGCTTCATCCTGTCAGGTGAGTTCCATGAAAAACAATCCATGTCAACAAATCAATTAGTTGCAAATTTCTGTAAAAGCAAACAAAATCAAACATTAAGCAGGAAAGAAATGTCTCATATTTGTGTCCAGTTTTATTTTCAAGCATGTCTGCATGATTCTAAATCACTCCTGGACTGAAATTTAAATGCATGTAATTGTTTGATGACAACATAATTGATCTATTGTGCTCTTATCTGTAATCATGCACACACACAATGCCGGCACATTGTTGCAAAAAGGTATTGCGCAAACCACCGCAACTCCTATAATCAACCAGTCCATAAAGGATCAGAATCAACAAAATTCAAAATATCGAGTGATAAAAAAATTGCATGTCATCAATATCAATTTATCATGATTATTTATCCCCGACTTCATTAAAATGACCTGATTACAAAGAGAAATTAATTAATAAGTGCATGAGAAAGAAGATGTTAAGTGTTTTGTGTAAGAAATAAAGCTTCACAAAGGTATCAGTATTTAAAAACGGTGCTTTTGCTGTAGAAGTTCTTCTTGTGTGCAATAACGCAGAAAAGAATATGTCTGAAATTTCAAAATATTGTGAAAAGACACATCTTTCATATGTGTCAGTCATTAATAAAGACTACGCCATTTTTGAAACGCAAATTTCAAATTCAGAAATATGAGTGAAATTGTCCAATTTCAATTTGTAGGACTTTAAATGCTGACAAAAATAAGCAATCGAGATGGATTTCTTTCTGTACAAGTCAAATACTAAGAGAAACCTGTCTGCACTGCTTCGAGATTAACGGTTACCCTTCAGATCCGAGATTAGTGTCTAAAACGTCACGTCCAGATGTCCAGCAGTGGCTGCACGTCAAAACATTCATGACTGAACTACGCCGTCAAAATGGCACACAGTAACACCGAGCTCACACTTATTAACAGCTCACAACCTGAAATGCCTGTCAATGGAAAGAAAAATATGTAAACATGTCTTTTGTGCCATTGCAGAGTGAAAGTGGACTATAAAGGTAAAGAAGAGGAGAATCCTGCAGAGACCGTCCATCGCCTCTGGCAATGTGACTCCTGGTTCAAATGTTTGGCTGAATAACCTATAATATGTTTATTTTCTTTTAATTTGTTTCACTTTGCAAAAATGTCCACCCTTTTACTCCATTTTGTACTTCTTATTTTGCTCATGTGTTCTGGTGGCAGGTACTGAGCCCAATAAAAACTTCACATGTCAGGATGTGTTTAGCTTCATACCTCAATGTTGATCAGCTGAAAATGACTGGGCGAGGATCCATATGCTTGAAACCTCACAAGACTCATTTAGATCATGAATGAGAAATTCAGATTTCTCTTTTTCTCCAAAGAATTAGCTATATTTAGCCAACAAAAGACTGAAATTAGCTCTCTTTTCAAGTTGCCCTGTTTTACCTTAAAACGGAGTCAAAAAAAATGCTCCTTTGACGTCTGTCTGGGTTTTTTGTAGATAAATAAATGAGCAAATTTTGGAAAATATAACATACAGCTCTGGAAAACATGAAGAGACCACTCCACTGAGCTTCCTGGTTGTTCCACCAAACATTGATCTCTGAACCGAGTTCAAACATAACATAGCTGTTGGGGTCGAAGAGGCCAAAACTATGTCCGTTTGTAGCCTGGTGGTGTTAGAAGGTCGTGTCGTGTTTACTGATGCAGACAAAACAGTTGTTGTGTTCAAACACAATAAAGAAGGTCAGTTTGAGACGTCAGGACCAGCAAGAAACCCGAACCAAACATTTTAATTGAAGCTCCAGCTCTGCTAAGTTCACAAAAATAATCCTAAATTAAACCTTTGCACATGGCAGGTAGGTATTTAAGTGCAAAACTGACTCGTCTCGAGCCTTTCTGAGAAGATTTTGTTTCTGGTTGCTTTTATTCAGTTTTAGCGTTGTTGCCTTAAGATCCATTGATTGCTTGAAAAAGCGCTGTGAGTTTTACACGCATGTTTTAAACTATTCATCGACTTTAAAGAACAATCTGTTCAGTTTGAGTCACTTTTGTGAAATCTGACTTGTCATCATCAACCTGAACATTTCATCTTCATTTAATGAGCTTTGGCCTCGTTTGGGGTTCTTGAGTTCTGTATGAATCTTTTTACTTTTTCTGAAAATTCATATCTGACGGCCTGCTAACTTAACACTCAGGTGTCACTTCGTAGCTATAAACAACAATTTCCCTCCTCCTAACTCAGCGGTACTAAACCATAGTTTATCAGTTTATTTTTAGCCGCTGGTGACCGCAGAAACCACATATTTATACACACGCCGTATAAAACGTTTGCTCCCCTTTTTCTCTCTCACTGTCATTAAAAACGTCCACCTTTACAAAAACATGCTTTTTATTTGCTAAACGTCAAAAATACTGAAACAGAGAATTAAAATAAAAACACAGAATTTGTCAAATCTTGCTCAATTTAATCCAGTTTTTTTCTTTTTCTCCAAGCTCCATTAATTGGGTTTGGACCTGGCTGCGTGCATCGTGCGCAGATTAGTCCACGTGACATTGTGCCAGGACAAACGTGCACATGCGTGTTTGTGAACACGTTCATTGATGCAGCTATGAATCGTCTGTTCCGTCCCCTCGCTGTGATTATCCCGTCTGGGACGTTCTGCTCCTTCGCTCAGAGGAATCTCTGTCAATTGCTCTCCCCCGCTCCCCCCCCTCCATCTGGCCCCTGCAGTTAGGCGAGCCGGCTATAACAGGATTACCGATCGAGACGGGGTCAAAAGGTCAGAGCGCCTCCCGTGGCCACTGTGAGCGCTGCAGCCGACGCTGTATCTGCACACGCAGTTCCTGTTAGTTCGGTGCAGGTTAAGCTCATAATCTTTTGTTGCCATGGTGCCGCTTCTTGGTAATTGTTACCTAACTTTCAAGTTAAAACCCTGTTATAAAGCCGACGTAAATATAGACCGGGTCTGCCGAGAGGCCAAATAACCCAAAGCTCTCAGAAAGTAGGAGACGCCTAGGTGAACGCTTCCCTCAGCCTGGAACTGTTTCATTGAAATTGTTTTCGAATTATGTTTTTAAGACAGATTTGATCAAAACGAGACGCATGTGTGTTGTAATTGTTAAAAAAAAAAAGATTATCCTATATTACTAAGTCTGAAAAGGTAAAATAGAGGGAAATATCTGAGAAACAAACACAAGAAACAGGTGTATGTGTTTGGATGAAGTTATCCAAAAGGAGTCTAAATTATGCATACAGGTTCACATGCTGCATATACATGCAGCCTCAGTAATAGTAATAGTCGGTCAAATTTTCAAGAGGGAAAAAGGAAAAACGTCACGTGTCCTGTTTCACACAGTAAGAGTTAAACAGTGTGATTGGGTTTTTTTTGCTGATCAGCCAGTGCTGTGCAGTCCTCTTATATAATGTGGAGCTCAAAGCGAGGAAGTGTGAAGAATCTGGAATGAAAGAACAGCGGGACAAAAGAGGCTGAAATGGGGACAGGGTTTGTTTTCTGGCCTGAATAACAAGCCAGTGAAGAACGGACTGGTTTGAACCAGAGAAGTAAAAACAAAACATTTTGGCCTGCATGTCTTCAAAAAGGATAATATGAACTTTTATTCACCTGATGCTCATGAAGTTCTGCACTGCTCCCCTTTTTTGTGCTTTGGATGAAATCTCGCGGCTCAGTCATGCTGTCACCTGCAGCTTCACTCACATTTTGACCAAAACACTCACATCTGATGGCTCAGCAGCGTCAAACACCCAGTAATTTGTTTTCAGCCTCTCGCCGAGTGACTCAGACTTGAACTGCAAAGCGACTCGATGTCCAAAACAAATCCATTCGGTCTCAGATTATGCAAGCGTTTGGCCAAAGTGTGAATTAGCGCACACCAAAATGGATGGTTTGAACTTTTTTTTCTTTTTTAGATGTTAAGATGCAGAGAAAGTGTGAAACAACTTACCGTGGACAAAGATAACCAACTTTGTTCTCCATGGATGTTGATACTATCGCCAGCCAGGCTGACGTGAGGAATAGTGTGTTTGCAGCTCACCGAGACGTCATCTGAAGACAAAATATAAAGGTTTTGTTTTAATTGCACATTTTCAGACAATACTTGACTTTAAGACTGGTTGAACTGAAAGATTGATTTGCTCTAACAAAGTAGGATTTTCTTTCAGTTCTTCAGTCTTTATTGTTGTGTGACTTTGTCCTCAGACCATTTTAATCATGAAGTCAAACATAACGGATCAGATCTGTTAAAAACTCTTCAATATTTTAAAGAACACCAGTGTTTGTAGTTGCACAATGCAGCTTCAGGAGAAATTGAACAACTGAAGGATATATGACAAATGTACTTGTCACAGATTTATTGACACGTCAGGTCAGTTCACTTTTATTTTTATCTGTACTCAACTCTGAAAAATTCATCATTATTATATTATAATAATAGCAATGTGTTATAATCTGTTAACTATTTTTTTTTCTTTGGTGGTGACTTTGATATGTAGACATATTTCTTGAAAGTCTAAAAAGCCACATCAGCCTTATCCTTATCCTGACCGGCAACAAAAGAAAAAATAACGCTTACTGAAAATGTCATTTATAATTTGTCACTGGTTGACAAATTGTGCAAAGAATAACTAAATATCAGTATAATAGTAAAAGGTTGTCCTTTGTAAAGATTGCTAACACAGTAGCAACCTGCTCCATCTCTCCTTTGTTTTCTTTATGATGTGCAATACAATACCTCTGTAACTACAGTTAAGACACTCACCAGCTGGGAAATTTGAACTGTTGGAGGAAAACATTAAAACAACAAAAAACAATTACGTTAAAGGAAGTTCAATGTTTCTGTGTGACCAATGAATCCCAAACTGTTTGGACTCAAAGCGTCTGAGAACTTAAAGTGAGATATACAGACCTGTACGGCCAACGTTACATCTCGTTTTCACCGTATTTATGTGGTGAAAATACACACCACATAAAAACTAAGCTGTCAGTCACGTTTTTTTGATTTATGAAATCAGTAACAATTCCATAAGCAGGCTGCTAACGCACACCGCGTTCCAGATAATTGACGGAGGTGAGACAAAATGTATTGAGGGAGGAGACAGAAAGGGAACCAGCAGTGAGCGACCTCAACCAGTTCGTCCCAGCTTCATGGAGCCCGAACAACAGCAGGCTGCGAGCGTGGGAACAAACCGAGAGGAGGAGGGAGAGACGTATGGCTGCAGGCAGAAAAGACCGGTCTCATCCTGATCCTCAAAAACACCTCATCTGAGTGACGTTTTAATTTATTTCTGATTTGAATTTAAACTCACAGGGTGGCTGCATGTTCACTAAATGTTCTATTTAGTTTTTTTTAAAACATCAGCCTTATATGACAAGGTTAAAATCTAAATGACGACAGTCACCTGACACCGACACAGATACACACACGCAGTGAAAAATAGAAAGGGCGACTGACAGTGGAAGGAATAAACCTGAATAGTCAGGTTTTTGATAAATCTTCAAGCTCTATAATAGACATCACTGAGATGTATTTAAGCACTATAAGTCATAAAAGTCACTGTAATGAGCCACAAAATAAAGATAAGATCAAATATAATCAATAAATTGAACTCCAGTGTATTTCTACCAGTTGCTCACTGGTTGTTCCTATTTCTATGTAAACACTAACTCAATCTTTGAAGCACCAGTTTTGATTTGACTTGAAAAAAAGCATTATTTTTGCTTTCCAGCATACAAAACTAGCTTAGAATAAAGTCTGCTGAACATTATCAAAATACTGGAGCTGTTGAAGCATAAGGAGTGGATCTAACTGTGTCGTCAGCATAAAGATGGAAACTAGCACATATTAAGACCCCACAACTGATCCCTGGGGAACACCTTTAGCTGCACAAACAACAGTAGAGGGGACCGATTATTACTTCATAATTAAATCAAATGTTTTTGTCCAAAACTGACATGTGCATTTAGTGCATAAAAAGGTAAAGCATAAGAGTTATAACTAATAAATTTGCCTGAATTGTTCCATCTTTGCATGAGTTGTTTTGATGGATATTTCAACTCGTCTTATATTCCAGGCTCTCGGTCAGCTGAGCAGAGGGCCAATAACTCCCTCAGGTTGTGCGTCCAGAAATGTGACAATGCTAGTTTCCACTTTTAGCTCACAGTGCCTGATATCACAAGGCCGCTTGAGGCCAATGGGTCAGGTTTTATTAGATCCTGATACCTGAACTTACGACTCACGTGAAGCTACATGCTGTTGCCTCATAGCAATGTTTCAGTTATGAGGCAGCAGCACTGTCACCTTTGAAGGACAAGAAGGAGCTGCATGAATGCATCAAGGTAGCAAAATTACTACGCCATCACTTGGCAAAAATCTTTGTGAAAATGTGAATGTCGACGAATGAACAAAAGAAGAGAAAATCCTCAATTTTAGTTAGTAATTTAAGCATTCATTTGAGATTGTCTAATAATTTTAGCTTTTTCTTTTTAGAGGTCATGATGAGGTAAGCTAATTTGAATCCTGACCGGCCTGCAGTTAATCATCAGACAGCAGATTTAAAATTAGACACAATATTCCACTGAAGCATGCCTGTCCTTCACCCACATCCACAGCTGCAGACCTGGAGTGTAAAGAGGTAAAACATCAATCAGGAGACACAATGAGTAATCAGTAAAACATGTTCACCGTGACCTCGAAACACAATGTGTGCCTTTTTGATATGTCCTTACATACAACTGAAATTTCTGCATATTTAGAGGGATTTTATGCAATAGACCAAAACATGATTGTGAGGTGAGGGAAAAGAGTACATTGTTTCAACAAAATCCAATTCAACCAAGAGGTTCAGAGTCAAAAAGATCAAAGCATATCCCTGTGTTAGAATGTCCTAGTCAAAGCTCAGATCTGTGTTGTTCCAGCACATCAAATCCTGATTAAATGTGCTGAAGCTTTTGGATTTAATGTCAAAACACGTGAAAAAGTTTTATGAAACGTAAACAATTTAGCGAGGCACTGCATCGCTGTTTTCCCAAATTACAGACTTAGTTTTTGTGTCTTAGTTAATGTACTTTAAATCTGTCAAATTCCTGCCTTAATACTGTTATTTTTAGACTAAGTTTAAAAAAAAAACACTTAACTATAATCATACAGAAGACAGTGAACCAGCACAAATGTTGAGCAAATAAACAAAAGCATTTTTTTAAGCGTCTTTGTGATTTTGACAACAAAAGCTCTTTGTTAAAACAGCCTCTCACCACACCGTTTTAATAAGAGTTCTTGTTGTGATTACACAATGTCCATGCGAACATGTTTGGATCGGGGTGAACAAAGCTGCGAAAATGGACGTCCACACACGGATTAAAAGCGTTTTGAGGGCACAGTGCAGCAGCGGCTCTCTGAGCCGTGCCTGCTTTCTCTCAAATCGATTCCTTTGATTTCAGACCAGCGGGATCAGACTCAGTCTCAGACATCGTTCGGGTAAATTTCCACTGGCCTGAACTACTAACTCGCCTCCCCTCAATATTTCTCTAAATCGGGCCTCTGGGCTTTCTGTGCTTCCCACAGAAAGACTCAATAGATGCAAAAAACATGTTTTAAACCAACAACAACAACAACAACAAAAACACTCAGCAACAGCAGAATGACTTTAGGGTTTCCTTTAACATTAGTAGCTGATAGTGACTCTATAATATTGGTTGATGCAGATCGATATAGAAACAGGTTTGTCTTTGTGTTGTGAGGTCACAACACCAGGCGAATCAAAACTGAACGACTTGGACATTTGCCGCTGATGTTCAACTCAAGTCCGAGTAAACGCTCAGAGTCTGGTGTCTCTTGATAGTTTCTTTGGTCTTGCAAAGAATAATCACAACAGAAATATTCACAGTATCAGCCGTCCTTTTATCAGAAGTGTCTGCTGACACACGTCTCCAAGACCTCCACCCTCCTCTCCGCCTCGCTGTTGCCTCTTGATGATCGACACCAGGTTACTTAAAATGCTTCTCCTTCAACACCTGAACTCGTTTATCATTTAAACTCTTGTTCACACACATTAAGGATTGCTTTTCTTTCTCTAATTAGGATTTTTTGTACCTATTTTATTTGATTTCTGCAGATATTATAATTATAATAACTCCAGTTATTAGAATTATTGTGCAAGTTAAATAAATCTCTTGTACATTTTAACTATGCAATACTTTCTGAAAATGTTTGACATTTTCTTTCGCTGCAACTTTACAAACCAGTGCAACTCTTATAATTTGCATTATGTGCTGGAATCTCACAGTCGTTTTCGTCGACTTTAAGTAGATTATGCAAAACGGGACTGAATAATTTGTTGTCATTTCCAACCCCACACAGTCCGACAGGAAGCAAACAAGGAACCTGCTGAAGCGCAGAACGGAGACGGAGCGAAATGACCCGCATCCGTCAGCCCACATTCAGGAGCTTCAGGAAAATCCACGGAAAGTTGATGTTGAGGCAGTTTGCAGAATTTCACAGCTCCTCCTGATTGCACTCGGTATTGACCTGCTGGGATGTTCCTAAGATATTCAGAGAAGCAGGATCTGATTCATTTATCTCTTGAAACCGTAACAACATGTTCCCACTTTTTTTATGAAAAAGTTTCCACTTAAGAAACAATAAGTGCCAGACTAACTTCCTGGCTCAACTTTAGTAAGTTTTACGCTGACGAGAAATACGTTCATATAAAGTCGGAAACCTTATTCTCCTGTAATCAACAGGATGGTTGTAAATATATAATTCGCAGTATGTGTTATGACACACACCATGTTACAATGAAAGTCACGCTGACGTTCTGTTTGTGGTTAAATAGAAAAGAAGAAATAAATCTTCACAGGACTGAAAGCGTCATGCCAACAAGGATGGGCTTCCACTGATTCTTGCAGACGTCTTCTTCTTATATTTCATTATTTTCAGCTTTGTGAAAATGTTGAAATATCCACCTTTTTGCTGCCCCAGTGTATTTCAGAGCTGTCACACATAAAAACCTGATGAGGGTCAAGTTATTGCTCTTAATTTAGACCTTTGACCTCACTAAATGATCACAAGGTTAAACTTTGATAATCAAGCTCTTCAATACAACAAGTCTGGATTTTTATGAAAAAAAAAACCTATAGGAAAGTTCACACAGTAACAGCTATTTATAATGCTATTTCAGATCACATGGAGGCAAAACAATGCGGAGCATGCGGGAAGAAGCATGCAGGTCGGCGGCGCAAGGCGAAAGCTGAATGGAGGGGAGGAGGGAGCAGGCGTGCCCATTCAGCATGCTCCGGGGATTACAGCAGCCTATTTAAAGTTCAGCGCCACGGAAGCTTCCCCCACGCCAAGAGGACGGGAGGCAGAACCCCGGGACGTGCAGGACGAGGCAGAGCTGCTTGACGCTCCGGAGGGTTTTTAATTTAGAGTGTGCAGTTACAGGGAAGGCAGAGGAGAAGGACTGACTGATCAGAGCTGGAAAACACACTAAATACTTACATTTTTTTCCCCCCTCCACACATTAAACAGACCAGGTAGGAAAAGCAACTTTCTTTGGATTTGTAATTAAAAAACTCTGACTAGCATCACCTTTTAAGCGTGACATCAGTACAATAGATGTGGCGTCGATTGTTACAAAACTGATGTCGTGTTTGCTGCAATATGAGGTTATGCATTGATTAGTTTCTAAGAAAGAAGGAGGCGTGTCAGTAAGATGTTTCGGGTTTTGATCTAACAATGAGAGCCGCTCGGTAACTGTTTCATCGGAAACGGTCTTGTCAAGCCTCATTCTTTACGCCTGAATCAGTCACTTATTATTCCAGTTAACTTGTCCGCCAGCAGTACTGACCGTTTTCATAGATGTTTAGGCCTCCCTCCGCTGTCACCTCTCTCTCTTAGACAAGCAAACATGAAAGCTGAAAATGCAAACACAGACACGTATTGCAGTGTTTATTCATGCAGATGACGAGATTACCGAAACGGTGTCTGATGAGCGAGAGCTCACACTTTCCCAATTGTCACCCGGAGCAGAGAACAACCTCTTAAACTCCACCAAAATGGACCAGAAGAAGGCGAATGATTTCATCAAAGACAACCTCAAATGTTTGAAACGCCGATTCTTGATGTGACTGATGACGCTTTGCTGCTCTTTTACTTGTGTTGATTAAGTAAATGTGTTACATCACGATGAGTAAGTACGGTACTTACAAAAAGAAACTGCAGATTAGAAAGGAGGGACTTTGAAAGAGGAAGAATTTCCTTCTTTTCATTATGTCACAGAGATGTGCTCCAGCGAGGCATCATTATATATTCATCAAATACTTCCACTTACAAAACAATTGACAGATCTCTTGCTCAATTTCATTTTAAAAACTTGAGAAATGAATCAGCTGTTATCATACAAATGTTTATATAAACGCAATGTTGACAGTCCAAATTATTTTCACGTTGTTCAATCATTTATTTTTGCGTGTGTCTGTCATGGAGTCGTGTGTTTTCCAGAATGTCGCTGTTGCTGCTATAATTTGTATTAAAATGTACACGCACTGCTGGATTTTGTCACTTGCAACAACTTCTGAGCAATTGCCCAGATCAGTATGAATAAGGTGTAAAACAATAAATGAAAAAAACACATTAAAACGGTAACTTGTGCCACCAACAGGTTTACTATTGCTTTTATGAGCAACACAGTCATAAAAGAACATAAAAGTGTGGACTTTTTTCTCATTTTAGTTGTTTTGGGGCTGCTGATAACTGATACAACCTTTTATTTTGGCAATTTTTGTTTAATGCTTTGAATTTAATATGCATCTAAGAATTCACTAGTGAACTAAAAATGCCTGTAAAGCAGAAAGCTCTTGTGTTTATTTACGCTTGGGTGATTTAAGGAAAATGTTGGCAGCAATGTTGTGCCTAATTTGTATGATATGGCTTCCACCCCCAAACACTTGGTTGAACTTTGGGTTTATGCCACTTTGCGCTGGCGCTACTGCTGTAGACAGGGGCGCAACTGCGTACTTTCTGAGGTGTATGCGAACATGTCATCTGCGTGTGTCTGTCGGTGTGTCAGCGTCACCGAATGAAGCCGACACGTTTTCTTTTTTAAATCGCCCCTACTTAACTTCACTGAAATTGTTCAGCCTGACTCACGTCTGCATTTTTGCCAGAGGTTTTGCTTCTAAGGACGGTGGTGAATCGGCGGACATTTTTAAAAAGACGCGGGTTCATAGCAGCTCACTGCGGCTGCGCAGTGTCCGTCTCTAAGCAACCGGGGGTCCTATTGCACCCGCCACGAGAATTTAGCTGACCTTAACGTTGCCTGTTATGTTTTGGTCATTACCGTTGAGATCTGTGTGGCAGGTGTGTATCAGACATGTATAGAAATACGGAACAAATTGGGCCCGGTATCGGTTCAATACGGCAAACAGTCAAATATGAGACGATTCCGTAGTTTATGGAACAACAACAACCCCCTGTCATTTTAACCTAGCTTCAGCTCACCTGAATATTTACAACTCTCTTGCTGATACACTGACGTCACTTACCTACTGTCTTTCAACCACTTCGAAAAGCTTTTCTTCGTCTCTCCGACATCTTTATCCTTCCTCTTCTTTCGTTTCCGCCTCGACGTGGTCCACTCGGACCCCTACAGCTACCTCACTCGGCGGGCTTCCGCTCGGACCCTCGGCAGCAACTCTACCGCTTCAGACTGATGCACACGAGGGTTAAATACAGGAAATGCAGACTAGAACAAATTTCCCCAGATCGTTTCGGCGCCCCTTCTAGTGCAGCGCCCCTATCCTCAGAAGGGCCTCATGAGACAGACATCATTTGAAGTGATGCTGTGTTGCTAGGGGTAATAATAGCACACAGTGAGCATGTGCCATGAAAAGAAAGAATCTGTGGGCACTAAATACATTATTCCCACAAGTCTGAAATGAAAGTGACCTGCGTAGCTTCGCTGGAACGGGGGCCAGGGAACCATTGTTCCCTCCACTTCTTCTCCTCCATTCTTTGTGCTATTTCCACCATTCATCTTTTATACTGTTCACCTTGCTCTACTAATGCCGGCTATATCTCTTGGTAGTCATTAGCCTTCATACTTTTTCTAATATTCAGCTTCCTATAAATTTTTCACCCCATCGGGGAAACTGCTCCGCCCTGTGGCAGAATTGAGAATTACAATATAAAATGTGTTTGTTTTGCCTATTAATGCCAATCAACCATCCAGTTTCAGGTCTGATGGAAGAAACAAGGCAGTGGCCATTTTGAAGTTGGGCAGTTTGACAGCTTTTATGGTGTTTAACACCTGGGAATAGTTTGAGCTGTTTTTTTTGTTGTTGTTTTCTTCGTGCTGCATGTGGCATGTTTTTGTAGTCACCTTGTAAACAATGCCTCCAAACAAATGTTGATTTCTCAGGAACCATAAAAGGTTTGGATTTCATCAGAAGCAATAGGGGAATGTTTCTGTCTTACTCAGAATCCAGGTTTTACATTACATTTTTACATTGCACAGATTATGTTACTGTAACTCTACATGCAAGTAGAAGCCTAGATGCAAATATTAGTATTTTAGCTACTTTTATGCAATTGCAGACATTTTGAAACGGTTGGACGGTGATTGTCGCAGACAGGTTGAACTGAAAGTGGCTTAATTGCTCAGGTGAATACCTCCACAGACAGGCATAAACATGTTATGAAAGTGATGAAAACCTGTTACGATACATTGGAACAGATCACAATCAGGCCTCCAGCATTGCCGCTGCTCAATGAAAACCTAAAGCCACATTTTAAGTCTAAGCATCAATATTCTTCACTCTAATCTCTCCAGTCCTCTACCACTGGCCTGTTTTGTGTTTTTTTTCTTCACAACTTTTCTTTCCCCCCTTCCCGTCTGTGGCCAGTGTGCAATCTGAGGTTGTTTTTTCCCCCTCCAACATCCCAGCTCCTGCGTTTGCTGCCAGATCCTGACAGCCAATCCGGATCTGTGCCCAAAAATTCCTCACCACTGACCAGGGCCTTCATGTTCTGGGTGTTTGTGAGCAGACAAATACAAACTTGGGATTGACCCGACCTCTTTTTTTTTTTCCTTTGGTCTTTTAAAACAAGTGCTATACTTTCTGAGCCCCTTGTTTCTCGGGTAGAATGTATAAATCCAGCTAAACAAAAAGAACTCGCCGTCTGTAAGACGTCTAACGTTACGGAGCCACACCTGTGTGAAACAGAGAGGAGGGACGAGAAAGTAAAGACGAGTTTATTGGGAAAAAACCTGTAATGTCCCAGCAGCAGCAGAGTCTGTGTATGCTGTCACGTCTCCAATGGAACCGCCTCACTGAGTCAAGCGCCAGCAAAAAAAAAAAAAAAAAAAAAAAAAAGCACACTGCTCTCCTTCATGTTGCAATCACACTTTAGTGTTTGTCATTAGATATCCAAATCTGTCCCTCTGTGAACAATGGGGCTTAACACACTCGAAGGTTTTCCCACAGACCAGCGCCGAGGTGGGTGTTTTATTTCAGGGAGGCCTGGGAAGAGCTCAAATGCATCCTCCAGGCATCTGCAGCGACCTTTGTGCTTCCTGTTTGTGACTTTCAAAAAGACGCGAAGGCTTCATTTGCAAATCCCCTTCGATCACCAGGTGTTTGTGGCGTGAAATGTCTTAAGAAATCGCACCTAGGCAACAACTCTCTGACCCTGCTTGAAGTCGGAAGATCAACGTGATTCGCTCACTGGTGTACCCAGCACTGACAATGTCAAACACACATTTTGAAGATAGATTGAAATTCCGATCTAAGATTGATCCGAGTTAATTAGACAGTACAGTTAAATGGGTGAAAGTTGGCTGATTGCAGGGAGTCTTTGACTTTGCAGCAATTCCTCATACAGAGCAACCACGGGAAGGCAATTTCATCCTTTTAATAGGAAGAAGAGAGACACATGAACACCTTTCTGTGTCCACATCGCTGACAGCAGTAGTAGCTTCGTCGGTGGAGCAGCTAAACTGATAAATTATGAGCCAGTGGAACAAGAAGTAGGATAAAAAGTGGGACCAAGTGCACCGTCTCAGGAGAACATGAGATTGTTGGCAGCAATATGTCAACCAGTGGACCCTTCCAGAGCTGCGACTCTGTTCATAAATGTGGAAAATACTACGAGTGCAAAGAGATGAGATCAGACAAAAACCATCAGAAACACAAACAAACCGTATCTTTCTCTATGTCTTATGTCTTGAGACGTCGCTGGATGTTTGAGGTTGGAGTTGATGAGAAAACTTCAGGAACTTTTCCTTTAGATTTTTGTGACCCGTAACCCAGAAGCGTCGCTCACGCTACAAAAAGAGATAATTACACAACGTCCTCAACGCTTTTGTTACCTTATGTCTCTTGTATTTGGATCGGCCACCTTTGTTGTTCATAAACTGAAGCGACAGCAGAAAATGAGTGTTTTGAACAGGGATGATGAGTTTATAAGCAATGTTAAAAATGTTACAGTACTCTGGGCTTTTTAGGGATGCAGACTGTTCCTAAATATCATAAACAAACACAAGAAATCATTTTGCAAAATGCTTGGAAGAAACTCCAAGAAAAATAAATGTAAAAATATAGACTGGATCTGTTTATATTTAAGTTATGGATCACTAGGACACATTCTTGCAGGGTTTTTTTTTTGTCATCATCCAACAGTTAACATGATTTATTAGAGGAGTACTGACAAGTCTGACAATCATCGAGTCCTTGCAGACCGTAAAAATAAACTGCAATAGTCTCTCTCGTCCCTGTGCTCCATTTTTAATGACCCATTTGTTAACCTAATTAGACTAAAATTAAGAAAAGACAGTCTGTCTCCAGGCGAAGGACTCCATCATCTTCAGAATTGGTCTGACTTGTTTTGGTCCGGAAAAGGAACTATCCTGACTGACTGGTCAAAAACTAAACGTCGAAACAAAAGAAAGCTCGGATGAATAAAACAAGCTGGTTGGGAAGAAATTTGTTTCCCTGCAGATACCTGCGCCTGTCCTCCTGTTTTAGCTGGGACATGCTTGCATCGCGTCACCTCGGCGTAAATCCACTGTTACCGGGTAGCTGATCCGTTCCTTGAAGTGCATTAGAGCGCTGACGTCCCTTCGCCGGGATTAGGGAGCGGGAGGGACGGCGGTGGTGATGGCACAGTAAACAGCGTCTGAGTGGCGGGTTGCTGGGCCACACTGCCATTCAGTGATACTGTCAGCCCACGTTAAGCTGCCGTGGCTCTGAAGTGCAGCATCATAATCCCATTAAACTGTGACCAGGGGACGAGGCGGGGAACTGCATGCCAGCCGAGCTGCAGGCAGATTAACCTGCTTTATCAAGAGCTGGAGAGGAAGTGAAAGTCACTGTTGAGTTCTGGTCATTCATTTTGTACACTTAACATCTGTTCATTTCCTCTCTGCCCTCAGACGACGCGGTCGGTCATGGGTGTGAAGATGCTGCAGTGTTTTCCTTTCTACAGACGGTGCAAAGAGCGCTGCAAGAGCAGGGAGGCCCCCCCGGCAGCAGGTGGGAAAACTGTGCACATTTTGTCAGGTTAATGCAAACTTCTTTGTTGGGATTTCAAGTCAAACGGCAGCAGTAGTAAGTCAGGTCGAGGAGAAAATATGTGAAAAATGATGACACTGACGCTGTCCAATCAGCTTGACGGAGCTTCAGCTATTTGGCCAGGAATGTGCAAAAGTTTCCGTCTCTAAGAGAGAGTATAAAAATGCCAAATCATTGATAGAATCGTTTCAAAGCATTGTAGCATTTTTTTTTGTTATGTATATAATACATGGACAACTCCAATGCAAAACAATAAAAACAACAAAATGTAAACAACAAAAATTAAAGCAGATGAACACTTTTGCAAGGCAATGCCAGTGCAAACCAAAATACTACTAGTATGAAAGCAAAAATGAGTCTAAAATTTGCTTCATTTTTTGTTCCTCTCTTTTACACTAAGAAAAAAAAAAGAGTGAAGTGCTTCATTGTTTTGCCTTTTTTTCCCCCACAGTTCCCACAGATGAGGCGAAGCCTCGTCTCTCCTCCACGACGTCCTGGGGCAGCGAGAGCGAGGGAGCGGGGAGCCTCAGCCGGGGATCCCAGCTCTACTTCTCCACCAAGGCCCGGCTGTCCTTCAGGCACCAGCTGGACAGCAACATCAACGCGGTGGACGCCACCTACTGAGCAGAGCGGAGAACTGCAAGGGAGGCAAAGGGACTGCGCTTCATGGATGGGTTGGGAGTCTACAGGCCGGAGCTTTTGCCTTTCCCCTGAAATGCTGAGAACTCTTGGAGGCTTTAAGTGAGAGGAAAACAGACTGGATGTGTCAGATCATCTCTAAAAACAACAAGAGTGTGTGTGTGTGAGAGAAAAAGGACTCGTTATGGGAGAGCAAAGGATGGTCGTTTACAGCTTTCTTCACCAACAAGTGCATTACTTTTTTTTGTTATTATTATCATCATTGAGCAAGTTTTGTATTCCGCTTTTTGTGTTTTGATATTTGTGAGTTTAAAAAAAAGGCTGTTTTCTCTTTGCTCGTCACGGCTGATTTTAAACTAACCGTTTTTTTATTTTTGTAGTTGTAGAGATTGTCATGACTAACTGGATCTGAAGCACACAACAACTAACATTAACATTTCACTTTCTAAATTCACAAGCTTATAGTGAATTGCTAAAAAAGTAAGAAATGATTTGTCATATTTTTTTGTTACAAGGGTCAAAAGGTCCCTGAAATCGCACATGAGAATGTCACTCCAGCTGTTTTATGCAATGTTTTGAAAAGGACAAAGTAAACTGAGCCATACTGCGACTTTTCTATTTCCAAACTCTCAAATATGGAATGTTTTAATGGTACTTTAATGTGCTTTCCTACAATGAACCTACATGACGATATATGCGGGGATAGTTTTCTCACTGACAACCTAAATTAATATATTCTGAGCTGCAGAGGTCTGCTAACATTTGTAATAAAACCTGTTTTTATATCAAGAGACTCTGACATTTTGCTTTATTTTACATTTTCAGTCAGAAATGTACAATCACTCATCCAGGGTAATGACATAATTGATTTGTGGGTCTTTTTTTTTCCAGTGAGGACTTAATATTAAGAAGCTGACTGAAAAAAAATGGTCAAAATCAATTTCTCTGTTTCTCACCTGCACCTGGAAATGAAAAAACTGAAAATAAACTCCTGGGAAAGAGCAACAAATTAAGCCACAAAGAGAGTTGAAGGTTGAAGGATCCAACCAGAACTAAGACAAAATATTATAGTTGGATACAAATGATGCAAACTGCTGAGTAATTTGGTGAGGAAAAAATGAACACATCTTAAAAGAGAGTGTATGCATACATTTGGGCTTTAGTGGATCACTTTCCCCTTGTGTGGATTAGAGAAAAATCCAAAATAAATTTAAACTTGTCCTTCCAAATCTTGCATTTAGAAGAGTTGTTTATTGTTAAATCGTCCCGCAGCGTAGAACAGACTCAAATCTGTCATTAAATGCCCAAAATGAATGTAAAATATTTGGGTTGCACAAACATTTTCCAACCAAGTAGCAAAAAAAAAACAAAAAACACAACACTGACAAGGCATCTTGTCCTGAAGTATTTATTAAAAAGAGTATTCACAGTTATAAAAGAAAAAGAAAATCAGTCCAGAATCAAACTCCACACACAGTGACGTCCTCACTGCGTGTGTGGCTTGGAGATGACTCCGTCTGGGTATCGCTCCTTAAAGCGGGCCACGACCTCCGGGTCCAGGAGATGAATGCCGTCCAGCTGGTTCCCCAGAGTTATCCTGGACAGAGTGAGAGAAGGCCAACATTTAATCCTTAAAATAGGTTTACATTTCAAAATTCCACACTCACATTTCCAGATATTTTTGGAACAGTCTTGACATTCTTGAGTGGAAAACGTTTACCAGGAACCATGACACGGCACGATGCCGAAACTCCAGTCTGATCAGGCGGTGCGGCGAGACGTTAAATCACCGCTTTAAGGCCTCTGGACTGACTTTTATAAGATTTATTTTAACATTTAAAACATCCCAGGATTCTTTGCAGCATTGTTAGTAATTTTTGACATTTTTTTTTGTTTTCATAAAAAGTGAGCATCGAGGTTTAATGTTTTGATTTAAACCCTGATTTGTAAAAGGAGACGCTCAGCGACAAAGAGGATGTTCAGATAAACTGTTTCTTCCTAAACCAGTAAAGCGTTACCAGTTGGGCTGGACGTTGTGAGGTCGTCCGAAGAGCTCGATCTTCCTGGTGCCGGGCGACAGCCGCTCGATCATGCCGTAGATCTCGTCTGGTTTGTGGCTGGTGGAGCGGACCTGAGTCAGAGGACGCAGATGATTACGAGCTGACAGGAACTGGAAATAATAACCCGTGTCGGAAGATGAACGGTGCTTTACTTCGGCCACGATGACGTCGCAGTCCAAACCTCGGTTGAACCCCTGCGTGCTTCCCTTCACGCCCACCTGAAGACAACCAAACAGGACGCGCACGTGGCTTTCAGACGTTCGCTTTCTGCAGCAGCAGGAAGAACGACTGATTTGACTTTAAGTTTACCAGGCAGTGCTCCTTCCCGTGGTTCAGCCAGTGGCCCGTCCTGCCTGTGCGAATGATTCGCTGCAGCTGGTTGGTTTTCACCCAGATGATCTCGTCGACGCGCTCGTAGCTGAGGGGACGCCATGTTGAAACAATGAGGAGGGGAGAAATAAAGAGCGGGTAACACGACGAACAGCAACACCTTACCCCCATTGGCTGAGACACTCCCGGCCCAGCTCCATGGCCCTGTGAAAGGCCAAGAGCCATCTGTTAAATTTGGTATGAATTAACTGGCCTAAATTTGAGATTAAATACACACTTGATGTGTATCAATGGAGGAGCAGTCTTCTGTGTGTGTGTTTTATTGGTAACCTGAGTGTAGAGGGTTACTTTGTTTACCTCCCAGTGACCCAGAGAAAGAGGAAACCATCATCCTGCAGGGCGGGAATGCTGAGTTTCCTCATCTCGTCGTCGGTCAGCGTACCGTATGGCAGCTCCATGTGGATGTCCCAGGGAGGGTCGGCCATCACCACGGAGAACTTCCCTAGGATGGACATGTCCAGGAAGCGGATGTCGCAGCAGATCCACTGAGGACCAAACAGCAGCTTTACGATCCGTGGAGGAGAAATCCCCTCGTCCTTCCCGGCGGTAGGTTTTTCCCGTTGCTCACCTGCGACGGGAAGAGTTTGCCCACGTTGCTGTCGCCGTCTTCGGCGTGCAGCCCGATCTCCGGGGTCCCCGACTGGGGCCCCATCAGGCTCCCCTCGGCCTCGGGGGGGCTGTCGATCTCGTAGTGCACGTACTTGCAGGTGTCCATGTGGAAACAGGTGTTGAGGAAGGAGCAGTCGCCGAGGCTCTCGTCTGTGTGCTTGTTGATGATGCGGCTGAAAGACAGAAATCGGAAGCTAGGTGACAAAACGCTTGGTGCTGTAAATCTTTGCCATATATTTAAAAATGTGTATTTAAATGATCATTTTAAATGCTAGCAAAAAAAAAAACTGAGCTATCAGCCTTTTCCTTTGATGATGATTTTAGTTTAGTTTTTCTTTCTAAAATGAGCCTCATTTTAAGGATTTAAATCAAAACTATTTTCTTACTCACAACTGCCTACATGCCCAAAACCATGTAGATAAACTCACAGAAAACACAACACTGTCTGAGAGGGAGGCATGTTTTTTCTGAATTATTTTCTTTGCTGAGCACTAATTCACTATTGATTCTTCTACAGAGTTTCCATAAATAAAGAAGCAAATAATAAACAAAAGCACAAAAATGCTTTATTTTGGAGTTTGTTTTGATATTACATTTTATTTATTTATTTTCTTTTAACCACAAAACTTTTCAAATGAATATTTTTAAGCAGCTTTAGATTGTTTACACAGATATTTGACAGCAAAAACATCCTCCTACTTCAATAACGGAGTGAAAATGTACGCTGTTCGTTCTGATGCTGGTGTAGAATAAATATATATTTAAAGAACAATCACAGTTCCATCTTCTGGCTGAAAAGGGCATTTTGCATTTATATTGCACTGTGAAGATGTGGTGTTTAATTTCTTATTTCCATATACTTTTTAAAGCATATACCGGTATATGTTTGAACTAAATGTTGTAAGAGAAAGTCAATATATTCAGAATAACACCATGAAAACAAATTGAAGACCATAACTAAACTAAAATGTATGTTAAGCAGAAGGTGTAAACAACCCACCGGAAATGGAGCTTCGTGCAGGGCTGTGGTGTGTCTCCGGAGCGGACACACTCCTCTTTTGTCCCGTGATCGCAGAACTCCTGGACCTGAGCTCGACCACGAGACCTGAACTTCTCCACGATGGACTGCTCCTTGGCCGTGCTGGCATTGAGCAGCTCCAGGATCTCCTGGCTCATCTTTAAGACAAATATGAAATAAAAGCGCTGAGAATGAGACTCCTCTGGTCACTCTCCTGCCTATTCGGGTGCTTCCTGAAATATCTAAAACAACTCCTAACCTTCTTGCTCTGCTGCTCCTTGGTGGACTGCTGGTTCAGGAGACTCTCGATCTCCATGTCCACGTGAGACGACTGGCTCTTGCTGCTGCGGCCCTTCTTCTCGGCTCCGCTTCCTGTCGCCGAGGACCCCGCCAGCTGCAGGGAGGAAGCCGGCGTAATGGAGGAGGAGGACGCGTGAGGAGGAGACGCAGAGCTCTGAAGTTTAGGCGAAAAGCCGCCGAGGGCCTGGTCTTCGGCCTTTCTCTTGACCCCGGCTCTTTGGGCTCCAGACACAGAGCCGATCATGGCCCACAGCTTCGTGTGGTCCACGGCTACGACGACGGTGGTGGGCGGAGAGGAAGTCGTGGAAGAGGAGGAGATGGCGGTAGGCTGCCGGACCTCAATGAGCTCCTGGGCGGAGAACTTGAGCAGCAGGCTCTGGATGCATCCGTGAGAAACCATACCTTCTGCCTGTGATGATAAACGCAACATGGACACACTAAATAAAGGGACAAAAGATGCAGTGAAATAGCCTTAAGTCGCTGTTGGGAGACTCACACTTTTGAGCTGATTTGTGATGGCCAGCGAGTCTGTGGGCAGTGAGAGGCTCAGATTGGAGAGGTATCCCAGCAGCCTCTTCTCCAGCTCGGGGTCCGGTGGCTTCTCCGTCTCCTCTTGAGAAGTAGAGGGAGCTGATGGAGCTGGGCTGTCACTCCTGGCGGTGGATCCCTCAGCGCTGAGCCCGCCGTCTGAGTGGAGAACAAGACTGATGGCATTTGTATGGAGAAAATATGTTTCCATTTGTAGGAAAGGAATCACTTTTCATGTCAGTATTCCGTAACTTTGATTCACGTTTACTGGTTCATTGCATAACTATTTGCAATGTCTGAATGGAAATATTTTAATCTACATGTAAATTATTGCCTATTGTGTTGGTCAGTGTTTTGTGGGTTGATATTTTGTAATACAAAATCTGGATAGTAGATGGATAGTAGATTGGTGGATGATCAGCTGATCAGAGGATCGAACAGTGGCTTCAGTTTTGAAATATTCAAAATGTAGAAGGTGTACATTCATTATAAGTTAGTGACAAATATTTCATTTTTAACAGACACACAATAAAAGGCTCTTTGAATAATTGTCTGTTTCAATTGACCCTAGCAACGATCTCGCTGTAATCAAGCTTTCTATTGTTTTAGCGCAGTAATAACCGGAAGCGCAACGGTGTCCGCAAGCTGCAGACCCCGCTCCCGCCGCCGTGCACATCCCGAACCCCACGTACCCGTCCCGGACAGCTGCGCCGGGTCCTTCCGCCGTCGCTTCAGCCTTTCCCGCAGCGAGTCCAGCTGCTTCTTGTGGGCCTGAATGTTACTCCATGTGTCCGACATGGTGAGCTCGACCACCTGAGCGGTGCGATCGTAAAAACTGGTCACAGTGCACCAAAACACGGTGAAAATAATCCGCGCTCTAGACAGT